TAAGTAAGAACTCATCATCTTTTACCTGATTTTTGTTTCTGAGAAAAATTAGATCCACATAAGAGGTCATTCATTTTAAATTTCGATAGAACAGTGGCAGTATGTCCTCGTAAGTGGATATCAGGCCCTTGTAGAGCAAAATTTAGTATTTTGGTCTAGACAACCTAAAATGTGATGACCACATATGTGAACGCCAGGTCCTAGGAGGTTAAAAGGGATTACATGAAACAAAGATAAAAGTCAGCAAATGCCAAATTTATTAAGACATAATCAGTACAGTGTGCTTCTGGATACATAAAAACATTTACAAAAAGCCAGAGTGTATACACGTCAGACATGTAACAAATCATTCTGACACAAAACATTACAGTTTGTTTTGTTCAGTGCTGACATATTACTCATTTTGGACTTTTGTACACACAAAAATGTGTAAGTGGTCACAGATTCAAGAGGATTTGAACTTTTTGGAAAATTTGATTGTTATTTTAAAAAGTCACACTGAAACGCTGACATACTGTATCAACAGTAAACATCTGAAAGCTTACCAAAGCAGTCAGACAAGTAACTGTTTGAAAGGATGGGAGAACCGACTTAAACTCCAGCCTGCAAACATTTAGGTGGTGTTAAGCAGCAAACCCTGTGTAAAATGGCAGTATAGCAGATCATTTGGGGCTTAAGGTCACAGGTTTGTGTGGCATCACTTTAGCTTTTTTGTTTGTCTTTTTAAATATTCAAACTAACTAAATTAATACATCTACAAACACAGGCGACAGATGAGTGGTCACATTTGTGATGACACTTAGAAAATACCACAGGCTGAAATGAACAATCACCACAGACGATGATGAAAAGGCATGCACAGGCTGGATATTTTAAATTATGTAAAAACAGAACTGCAGAAAAAAAAAACGTAAAACAAATAAAATAAAATAAACTCTTGTTTAATATTTTTTCATGCACAGAGAAAGCTACCATGTCCTGGATAACTCCAGGTGTGAAGTTAAGGGCAATGTGGTGAGCAGCTTCAGAAGAAAATGGCAACCAAAAAGAAGGCAATAAAATAATGCACAAAAAAACATGGTTAACACCAGAAATAGTAAGTGATCTGCAACCCTTAAAGATTAAAACCATTAAGAACATGCTTTGGGTAAAACACAGGTTAGAAATGCAAGAAAAAGCACTGGTTAAATAACTCAAATGGTATTAAACCAACACTCCTTTCTACAGGTCTGAGATACTGTAAATTTTTTTTCTTCCTTTTTTTAAGTATGAAAATTCTGTTACAGATGAAGTGAAAAGCACCCTTTATCCTAGTTACATCCTCTCCTAACAGGAAACCATTTTCTGAGGATGTAATGAAACCCGTAAGCTGTCTTAAACTGTATGATTGTCAGTCTCTCTTTTACGCTACCCTGTAAGCGGTCATGCGAGTGTAATTTTTGCGGTGACTTTTGGCCGCCCACAGGAACAGAGCAGCTGCCATCATCTGCAGAGGGAAGGATATGAGGGCAAGGTAAAGAGACCAGCCCAAAGTGCCCTCCACCCCATCAGGCAGAGGGAAATTCTGGTGGACCAAATCCACCCCGGCCAGGAAACAGCAGACGGTGCCCAGAGAACACAGACCTGAGGAGTCAAAAGCAGTGATGAAGGAACGGGATGAGATTATGTAAACGTTTATGTTTGTGGTCATTTGGATCTTTAAAAAAAAAAAGAAAAAAGGACTAAGCTTCTAATGCAAAGCAGAAACAAATTTAGCAGATGAACTCCACCTTCGTTGTACTCTGGCTAAGACCAAAGTAAATGAATGAAAGCAGAGGGAAGTTTTTTGTTGAACAAATGTTCTGTGCAGTGGTTTTCAAAGTGGGTTCTGGGGACCCTCAAAGGTCGTCAGTCTCAAAGCCTCAGGAATAAGCACCGCTGGTTTTGGATGATTTGCATACATTTTGACTTCTGTTGTGAATCTTTGTAGAGACTGCGATGTAACCTGGCTGACATTGGTGCTGACATTTATCTTGGGGCAAGTGCATTATTTGTTAATTGCCGTGTGGTCGTGTCCGAGGGTTTTACACGCACTGCCAGCCAAGATCAAAACAAACAGAATTCTGAGACTTTTTTTCCCCTCCTGGGTCCCCACTCGTTGTTATGGTCAGTTTTTATGGGGCAAACATATTTGTCCCTCAACTTTTTCCACTTCTCCCCTCATGTCAATTCCAATAGTTTCAACAAACTCCCTCCAGGAACTTGGTGACAATCATACCGATGCTATGATTGTTTTCTCTCACTGATAAATTAAGTAAATAAGTAGCTGGAAATTCACAGGAGGAATCGATGGCACTAAACAGGACAATCACACTGGTTGCAGGCTGTGTGAACCAGGCGTGTAGTTACATTTCTAGGAAGGTGCACATCAGGTTAAGCTGTACGTTATGGTGTAGGATTTTATAGGGTTCTGGGTATCTATAGCCCTAGTAAGCCATGCACAGCTGAAGCCGAAAGTCACTACAGAGGGGTGTACTACCAAGTATGTTCATAGCCAGGATTACTTTGTGTAAGCTAGCTTCACAAAAGTTAAAGGTCCACTCAGAGATAATAGGTATCACACTGGTGGGCATTGACCATCTTTGTTCAACCGGGCTTTGTGCTTCAGGTTCTCACATAAAAAAGGTCATTTGACGCATCATTGGACTCCTCTTCAAAATGGATTGGCTGAATCAATCTGAGATGTTATCAGAGAAACGGGTAACAGGGACGTAAATGTAACAATATGGTGGGGAAAAGAGGATATTAACACTTGCTGCTCTGTGTTTATTTCTACCTTATAGCTCCAACTCTAAAACTTTAAACTGGATGCAGTGAAACATTAAAGGTTTCTCACTATGGTCAGTTAAAACACTGTCTCAAAGTCATGTGGAGTCATGTGTATAAAGGGCATTTGGAAATCACCTTTTAATCACTTTTTGTTGCCTGATCAAAGAGACACTAATTGTATTGAATGCACCTGTAACTTGTAAGTTCAAAACTGCATGCCAGTAGCTGCAAGTCCAGCTGTGTAAATGACATTCAGCAGCAGTCTGCTTGACCTAGAACTGATTGTGTCACTCGTTTTTGTCAACATTACTCATGCAGTAAAAATAGTAAGACATTAAACTGTCAGTTCAGAAAAATGCAAGATATTATAGTTTTTATGCTCATAAATGTGTGTGTTTTATTCACCTGCAAGAAGATGGAGCACTCCCACACAGAAGGTCGGGGTAAAGCTGCGGCACAAGCAGGCACAGACCCCAACGAGGACACTGAGGAACACCAGTGCCAGAGACACCAAGGGCAGCAGAAACTGGCACCTCCACAAGTCTGCACAACAATCATTGCAGGTTAAACTCAAACTCTGTCAATAATTTCTAATGTTTGACAAATGATGTGCGAGTAAAGACAGTGAAGGGAGCAGATGTGACCAAGATGGGTTAAAAAAATGTAAGAATCGTTTAGTAAAATGAAAAAACAAAACAAAACATATTTTATGAACTACAGGTCTCCCTGGATAGATTGAGGGAGAGTAAGGATACACTCACATGTTCTTAGCAGGTCTTCTTCTTCCTCATTTCCAGGTTTATACTTTGTACCTAACTGATCAGAAAGACTAAAGCTTGAACAGCGGGTTTCCATCTTCCGATCTAAAGCCAAAAAAGTCAGAGAACACAAATCCAACCAAGTCTTCTCATTAATTAACAATGTAAAGCATTTAACACGGGACTGGGCATTATAACAATCAAGTGCACTGGTTAAACCAATGCTGAGTGCAGAACAGTCAGTGACGTAAATCAATGTGCAGAATTAATCTAAATAAAATTCCTTCAAGTTAAAAATGGAGTTTAACAGACAAATCTTGTTCCAGATTTTCTTCTTAAATTTAGAAGGCAGCACTATCATCAAACAAAGTATTGGTCAGTGAGGACGCTGAACAGGTGTGCCACTGTGAGTAATACCTGGAGATTTGAACCAGTATGAGGGGCTGGCTACCAGGATACACCTCCACCATAGTGCCCGAGTGCCGTTGGGGTATACGGGTTCGCTGTGCGTTGTATTATTAACTTCTGGGGTATTGTACTCATACCAGTGCTGAGTCCCCACAGCCACGGAGAGGTACACCGTGGCCAGCAGGCTCAGCACGGAGCCGATAACCAGAGCTGTGGCGTACCGGTTATCCACCATGGTAGAGAAGAAGACAGCTCCTTAGGAGAACAAACACAGTCTGCAGTGTCAAATGAGGTTTGGCTTCCTGAGATGGAAGGCTAACAATTAGTTGTCGGCTTGTTGCTTTGGCTCCACGGCATGTGGTCAGTAGGCACTGGAAGTGTCACAGTATCCGAGCATTGTGCTTTCTTCAGTTAAGCTGCATGTTTGCTGCAGTTTCGATTAGGTCCACAGAAGCGTTCACAGCCTGCCGAGGAATCCAACATAAAAAATACATAAGCAACAAGTACGCAATACGAGGTGGTTAGCGTCGTTTGTAGCTTAATTAGCCAGTAATTAGTGATCATAACTGCTTTGTACCCATAATTAATGTTATTAACGTTAACTCTGCTTCACATTGCTAACAATAACAAAGTGTTATTGTCAGGAAGTTAGCATCCTACTTGCCAGCTAACGCTAAACATAGCTTCTTGCAGCAGAGTGCGACATTATCGAGTTATTTAACAGACACCTGAACGTTACAGATTTCACTCGAGCTCTTTTTTTTTTTTTTACCTCATTATTGGCCAAAACCTTCCAGTTATAGTCTTATCTTATCTTCTCTGCTCTATCAATTTGTAGCTGACCACCGCCTTCTTCTTCGCCTGTTTTTTCTTCTTCGTTTGATGGAATGAGTTTGTGCATTATGGCCACCTTCTGCTTCGGAGGAGAGGTGTCGCGAAATCTGATGATAATCCCAGGTAAAAGAGTTCGCAATAACAGTATTGTCGCGATATCTGTGGAAAGGGTGACGCTTTAATAGTAATCAGCCAGATTCCGTCATAATAAAAAACAAACAAACATAATTCATAGTATAAAATATGTTTTAATTATGAATGAATCTGACTAACGCAAGATAGAGCGTTGGAAACTGAATGTAGAAACCATAACCAAGCGAAGTGCCTACAAACTATAACAATTATAAATATTACATAATACATTTGAAACTACACTTATTTATAAATGTAATCTTTTCATTGTCGTGGTTATGGTAGATATTGCATCACATATAGGAGACCAGACATTATTCAATTTATGCTTAGTTCAATTAAATGTGATTTGTATGGCACCAAGTCACAAGAACAGTCATCTCAAGGTGCTCCCAACCAACACTGCCTTGACACAAACTGTTTAGGTTCAGGAATAGTCACAGATATGTATGCAGTTGGTAACACCTCAATTTTACTCCTAAAAAACTTTAACACACACACAAAACCTTTTCTAGTCTTAGTTAGCATGCTTCAACATGCTGAACAGAAAATAGTGTGTTTGTGTGTTATTTAACCCAACATGTAATTGGTGCTGGCAGACCCTTTGTACATATGAATAGTAAATCACTTTTTCCTCCATCATCTGACCTGCTGCCAGACCAAACCACTGGCTCAGTCTTAGCTGTTTCTAATCCCATAGTCCTGACATGAGCCAGCCCCACTGATACCTAAAGTAGGGGAGTTGTCTTTTGTAATAATAATACATTGTCATTATAAGCCACATAAAAAGAGCAGTGTAAGTGCAACTGCATATATTTTGCACACTGTGACTGTTGCAGGTGGTGAGATCTTTCAGTAAGCTAAATCAGTTTAAAAGCTATTTGAGCTTCACTAGGTCTCAAATCAGAAACATATTTTATTTTGCTAGACTTTGTTAGAAAATTAATATCCAAATGATTATTTAAGTTATATTTGCCAATACTTTATATAAAAATACAAGTTTTTCTTTTCTTTTACACCATTTAATAGATGAGAATTTAAATTTACTTACCAAAAAGTATACACATATGTACCAGTCAGTGTAAAAAGAAAATCTAATAACACTATAAATGGATAACACATATCTCATCAATCTTCTAAACATCTTCTCATCTTCTTTCTAAACAGAAAATTGATCCATGTTTGCAGTATTAAAGTGGCGGGGTCGAAAGTGATATATTTTTCATGGGACTCCAGATCCCTGGTGGCAAAAGAGGTAAAATCAGTCGAAAAGTCCAAGGTGCTTGTCTCAAGGAGGGCTATCATTTAAAACAGGCTACATCAAACCACATGCTTGCAGCCTGGGACAAGCAGCCTGATAACAAGCAAGGAGCCTCATGGGAGATATTTTTCCTGCTTTACCAAACTGCTTTAAGTTACCTGGTTGAAGATTAAGTTTGCACTCTAACATGTAGTGGTGGTGTCTTTATGAACTTCTAACAGGAATGACGCATAATGCCTTCTCCTAAAGATTAAACGTGACCCTTCACATCAAGCTGCACAGAGACCCAATAAAAGGCATCATTTTTTATCGGGTTATATCTAACACATTATATTTTTACATGAATGCTTTCTGAGAGTTTTAAATGTTTTCTTAAAACACCAAAAAGTCTGAATATTTGCAACAAATTGTACAAAGTTTATATCCTTGTTGTTTTGTTTAGTAACTTGAAACTAGTGAGCTTATTTGTGTAAACAAAAAAACGATGTGATCCTGTGAGAGGTTTGAACTAAAAATTATTTCAACTAACCAGTGAGAGCAGATTCTTTAATACTCAGTATATGTGGAACTTTACCAGTGGTATTTATTTTACTGATATTTGGGCACAATTACATGCAAAAACAAATAAGCCACCTTTAGCAGTAATAACTTGAAGTAATTATTTTCTGTATGATGTTATCTGTCTGTCACATCATTGTGTTGATCTGTGGAACCCAGTACTTAAAATCTGGACTGGCTCTCTGTTTAAAAAGTCTAGTCTCTGATCCCATCGATACTACCCAGAAGGCAGTGCAGAGCTAGGATGGAGCCAAAGGGTGAAAGTATTCACCCAGTTCTGCCTATCTATCCTGCCTACTCTGATAAAGTATCTGGCGCTAGGTAGCCTTGCAGGTCCGGTATCCTACTTTACTTATCTTTACTTTAAAAAAAAAAAAAAGAATGTCCACAATTTAGACTTTTTGAATCCTGGATATTTTATTAGAGCAATTTAACAGGAGAAAAGCTCGCTTTTCATACTCATTTACCCATTTGCATCTCCCCTCTTTCACTTTTATCTTTAGACATCCAATCACCATTGTTGACATACAATCACATGACTTCATAATACAACAGAACCAGGAAACAATATTTGATTATATTTCACAGATACCACATTCTGCCATATAAACTATGCAAAACAATTACACAAATAAGCAAAGCAGTATTGTAGAAAACAATAACTGTTTTTACTAAACAGATAAGGATAAGGCTGCAAACACTAATACAAGCCACAAGGTGGAGACAACAGCTTGTGGAGACCTGAAGACATGGAAGCAAAGCAGAGAGACAGATTATTACTACTAATAATAATAATAATTTACTTTTTTTGTGTGAAGTATTTTTATTATATTTTTATTATATCGAATTGGCACATGTGACATGTTTGTATCTCCTTTAAATATTTAAATACTAGTTCAACTAACAGTTCCAAGCTTAATATTTGAAGAATGAATATACAAAAAAACTCACTTTAATTGAGAGAATATGAATCTTACCGTGAAAACATGTAACAGTTGTGTGAGCTGTTCAGTCCCGACTGTTTCAAAACAATCTCAAGGTATTCGTCATCATCCGATGTAGTTTTTGTCTCTACTCGTTGCACAGTGAAAACTTCTGCTGGAGACAAGAGTATTTCATCCTGTCCTTGACCGCACACATAGTCTTTCAGGTTGACAAAGAAACAAGAAGTGAGATGTAAAATAGTACTCTCATTGACATCTTCAAGTCTCTTTAGCTCTTCATAGTCTGAATAAGCTAAAGTGAAACTTGTAAATCTCACTGTGGAGCCTTTCTGTGGTTTGTTTTTACCATCTTGAAAAACATAAAAGTTCTTGCACTCCTTTGGCTTCAGCAGCCTCATGGAGTCCATCAGCAGGAAATGAAGAGACTTGAATTGGAATCGGTTTTTATAGATGCTAACATTTCCACCCATTGTCTCTATTGCTTTGTTCAGTGTTAGTATGAAAGGCTGGTCTCCTTTAAGATAGGCTGAAAGTGCAGCAGTATGCTCTTTTCTTCCTTGAGGGATCTGTTTTGAACATTCGTTACTTTTATTCCACGCTTTCTGAAATCCTTCACTATTGCTTAGTTCTTGTTTTAACACGTCTGACTCGATGAACTTCTTCATGGCCTCTTCACGACATCCTTTGTACTGGTCATCCACAACATCTGTGGTCTCTTGGACATCCAGTAATCTTGTATCCTTTGCGGCCACCTTTAATTGATATATCACATTTAAAAACCCATTTTTAAATTTATAATTTTTCTTACTTTCTAATATTTGTTTGAATCATGATTCTTACTTTGCTGCAGGCAGCTGTGAAAATTATTGCAGCAAGCACTTTTCTTCTGTTCTCCATTTTTTGGCCTCTTTGTCTTCTACAGAGTGCAAGAAAGTCCTGAAACATCAAATATGGATAGAGAAAGTTCGGTAACACTTTACATGGTCCAGAAACTTGGAAGTGACAAAATCTAAAAGACTGAAAAGACTAAAAACTTACCTGAAGCAGGGAGAACAGCAAGGGGCCCATCAAACTGCAGGAAAGCGAAAGCGAGGGTTTGAGGAACTGGAACAAGTTATCATACAGCGCAGCCCTTTAGTCTTTCCTGTGTAAGAAAGTAACTTTTTCTGCTTTCTGCTTTAGTGAGGAACATTACTGTGTTCCTGTAAGCTGGTTCAGGTTTAGCCCCTTTAAGCTCGACCATAAATTACCTTTATATCTCTGATCTAGCATGGCTTCAGTATAGCTCATGGGGGCAAATACCTAGGTACCTCTTCAATGCAGACTTTATAAAAAATGAACTGGAGCCTCACAGATGAATATAAATAACATTTAGCCTTTACAGCGAATGTGTGTGTATGTGTGTGTGTGTGTGCGCAATCTGCTTTTATTTCATTGATGTGTAGCTTAATGATGAGTCTTACATTTAGACAATAGTTATCACCCTGCTGCTGAACCAGCGATGTAATATGTTTTCAATTGTAACATAAGAAAAAAAACTTCCTGATGTCTGAAATGTCTGTGTGATAAGATTAAATTCATTGCAAAGCATTTTACATTTTATATGCTCTTTATTTGTCAGAGAAATGGAAAGATACATCAAGGTGTGGTTTCTTTAGAAGCAGGAAGATAATCACTAACTCAGGAAACACACTGACGACATGTGTCGACATATTTATCGTAAAAATCCGCTCCCTGAAAAATCGTCACTGAGGAAAATGTAAAAAGTGAAGAAGTTCACTAAAGTTGAGAGAAAGTTCAATAAAGAAATTGATGTTGAATTTAGTTTTATGGATAGAAAATTTCAGTTTTTCTATCACAGTCACAGTTCATTGATAGGCGGCATTGGCTGTGCTCAGGAGCCTGAAAATTGAACCCAGTGTATTTTATGCCAATTTTCTGCACCCCTTTATAAATTTTTAATAAACGTTCTGATTTTCTATGTGTCACTCTGCCTTGTTCTTGGTCTTCTCGTGCCAGCCCATTGACAAAATCCTGGAAACACTCCGGCTGTGGGAGTTAAAGGTGCCTCCAGAATACCCAGTCTGAATCCAGCTGGGAAAAGCTGCAAGTTATTCCCATCTCTTGTTTCTTATCATCCTTTTAAAGGCACACAATGCTTAACAAGAATCATTGAAATTATAACGCATATTATCCATGAATTCAGCCTATAATTTTAACATATGACAGAAAAAGAAAACAATATTTGATTATATTTTGGTAGCCTAATGCAACACCTTATTTGGCAGATAGCACAATCTGCCAGACAAAGTACCAAACAACTGTAAGAATAAACCAAGCAGCATTGTAGATGATAAAATTCTGAATGATAACTGTTTTTGCTAAACAGTTAAAGAAAACAAAGATAAGGCCGCAAGCACTGACGCAAGCCACAGGGTGGAGACAACAGCTGGAGGAGACCTGAAGACATGGAAACAAAGTAGAGAAAGAGATTATTGTAACAGCCATCCATCCATTTTCTGCCACTTGTCCGGCCTGTAGATATGGAAATAAAACTGTAATAATAATAATTTACCTATCTCTCTCTGTGACAGTTGTGAAAGGTTCCAGTTCTCCTGAGACCCTGAATTATAAGCAGAATATAATACTTTAAGCGATGTGCTGATGTGTGCGTTCGTTTACTAATGCTGTCAGCATTATCAGGCCAAACTATTCAAACCACATCCAAAACCCTACCAGGGTTTCATAATCCTGTTTGGGTTTTTTCACTTTTTATGTCACCTCATGCTTTCCAGCTGGGAAATCTTTGAGTTTATCAAAACCTCGAGTATAATCCAGTCATTTCTTTGTATTTCCAGCATTTGTTACACCCTGTAACGGAGCAACAGGCTGTTTTATACAACACCAATTATTTTCCCCGCTTGTTAGAAGTGTTCAGCTACATTTAAAAAAAATAAATTAATTAAATACCTATTGAGACAAATAGGTATATTTTACAATTTTCTTGTGTGGCTTGTGAAGTATTTTTCTTATATGTACTTTGGACAAGTTAAATGTTTGTATCTCCTTTGTGTGTTTATCACCACAATGAAAATTATTTAAGCGCTTCAAAGTTTAATGTTTGGGAAATGAACCTACAAAATGTTTCACTTTAATTGAGAGAATATGTGTCTTACCTCGGAAAGATAAAACAGTTGTGTGAGCTTTTCAGTCCTGAATGTTTCAAAACAATCTCAACATATTCTTGACCATCCTCCACAGTTTTGCTATTTACACCATCCACAGTGAAAACCTCTGCTGGAGATAAGAGAAATGTATCCCCTGCTTTAGTGCAAGTGTGTTCTTCCAGACTGACAAAGAAACAAGATTTGATATTTAAAATGATGTCCTCAAACAGATCATAATAATTGTTTGGCTCTTCATAGTTTGAATGAGCTAAGGTGAAACTTGGAAATCTCACTGTGGAGCCTTTCTGTGGTTGGTTTTGACCACTTAGCAGAACATAAAAGTTCTTGCACTCCTTTGGCTTCAGCAGCCTCATGGAGTCCATCAGCAGGAAATGAAGAGACTTGAAGTGGAAGTGGTTTTCATAAATGTTAACATTTCCACCCATTGTCTCTATTGCTTTGTTCAGTGTTTGTATGAAAGGCCGGTCTCCTTTAAGATAGACTGAAAGTGCAGCACTATGCTCTTTTCTTCCTCCAGGAATCTGTTTTGAACACTCAATACTTTTATTCCACGCTTTCTGAAATCCTTCACTGTTGTTTAGTTCTTGTTTTAACACGTCTGACTCGATGAACTTCTTCATGGCCTCATCACGGCATCCTTTGTACTGGTCATCTACAACATCTATGGTCTTTTGGACATCCAGTAATCTTGTATCCTGTGCGGTCACCTTTAATTGAGGTGTATCACATTAAAAACTCATTATTTAGTGAATAATTTTTCTAACCTTCTAAAATTTGTTTGTATGAAACACATTTCTTACTTTGTAGCAGACAGCTCTGAAAATTATTGTAGCAAGAAGCACTTTTCTTCTGTACTCCATTTTTTATCCACTTCTTGTTCTAGAGACTAAAAGAAAGCATTGCAGGATCAAATGTGGGTAGAAAAGAGTTCTTCAACACTTTTCACAGTCAACTTGGATTTGGAAAGATGTAAATAATCTAATATTTGTTTGGTTTTCTTGGAATATGTCAACTTAAAAATGTAAATGTTGAAAAGACAGAAAATCACATACCTGGAGCAAGAACCAAAAAAAAAAAAAAACTTGTCTTAGCAACTCACAGAAAAGAGTCTATCCGATTTCTGAGCAGCAATGAGCACAACATGCTCTGGGGAGTAAAATAAGTTATCCTACAATGCAGCTCTACAGTTTTTCCTGTAGAAGATTGTAACTTGTCACTGTGGGAAATGGTGTCCCCTTATTGGTTCTGCCTTAGATACTGAGTTCCTGTAAGCTCCTTTTTTTTTTTTTTTTTTTGGCATAACTGGTGAGGCCAAGTCCCACAGTACTTCTTCAATGTAGACTTTTTCTAAAATTGAAAAAAAAAAAATAAACTCAAGCAGTTCCATGCCCACTTTTAAATTTTGTACTTTTTCCCCAAAGAAAGGGGTTAACTACAAAATTGCATTTGCTACTGTTTGCTAAAGCTCAGGTCGGCAGAGCACTTTGACAGCACTTTTTTTATTACTAAACTCTACAATTTGGGCTACTATTAGGTGGATTCACGCAATGTCAGGTTTAGAAGACAGTCAGTGAATGGTAATTTTGTTGAATAATAGTATTAGTAATGATGAAAAGATGATAGCTAAATTAAAACTAATTCACGAGGACAAAAACTATGATGAAATGTAATGACACTTAAAAATTAGATAAAATTGTTCTGGAGAGATAAGATCCTATTATAACTAATGAAGTTGTGTAGAAAGGCAGGATGAGTTTGGAAGTCCTTGTGTAGTAAATTTAGACAAAAACATTTTGATCCACCCAGGGTGGGGAGGGAGGTTCAGCTGACTAAACCTACTGTAATCTTATGATATTTAGTAAACTAAAATTAGACTAAAGCTAAAAATAAAATAAAAAAGCTGTTTCTATAGCTATAATAAAACAAAGTAAAGTGATTTCAGGATTGGTGGTCCAGACAGGACTTCAATTCAGATGTTTAAAGTTGTGAATAAGCAAACAAAGACATGTTTGGTGTACTCGATTTAACATGCCTCCAGAGCTTTTAAAAAGGTCCCAACAAGTGATAATCAAACAGCTGCTCCCTGCATGAGGTGGAAACCTGTGTCTGTCTGTGTGTGTTGTGTGTCTGTGAGAGAGAGGCTTTTGTATCACTTAATTATAAGTGTTACATTTAGGCAGTCATTACTGCCCTGCTACAAACCTGTTGGACTTTGTAAACGTAACACAAGGAAAAACAAATGTATTTGTCTATTTGTGTGATCAGATTATATTAATTGCAAAGCTATTTCAATTTTCCATGTTGTTTATTTGACCGGGAAACAGAAATTCCTGGTGTCTTTAGAAGCAGGAACATTTGCTGCAAGTTATTCCCATCTCTCATTTCTTATCATCCTTTTAAAGGCGCACAATACTTGACAAGAAATAAAGTTTGCAATATATTTTTCTAACATGCATAAAAACAAGATATAAATTGAGTCTATAATTCATAACATATGATAGAAGCAAAAAACAAAATTGCACAATACTTTGGCAGCCTGTTGTAACACCATATTTGGCACATACCACAATTTGGCAAATAAAGTGCCAAACAATTATATGAATAATCAAAGTAGAATTGTAAATACACTCAACAAAAATATAAACGCAACACCTTTGTTACTGCTCCCATTCCCCATGGGATGG